GATTAACTGTTATCCCTTCTTTTTTTAAGTTATCTGCACTCAAAATACCCACTTAGTTTAATGGCGGATCATAGATTTTTAAAATTTTTTATACTGACAGTTATTTATGTGAATTGAAAAACCTGAAATTTTTAGACTTCAATTCCTGTTTGTTTTCCCGTAGCGGCAGTTTGATGTAAAAGGGGGCGTGGCACAAATTAGTGCACTGTGAAATTAACATTGATTTTCGTATGCTAATATCTTTGGAAGTACAGCGCCTATAACCTTCAGATTTTGTGGTGTAGGACATCTTTTACTGCTGATTCCAAATCTGCCATGCCCCCTTTTACATCAAACTGTCGCTACTGGAAAACAAACAGGAATTTCAGGTTTTTCAATTCACATGAATAACTGTCAGTATAAACAATTTTAAAAATCTATGATCCCATGGCATGGAATTACACAACTCTTTAAAAAATTTAGTTATTTCCGATTATGTTAAAATATGTGTAGTTTTCATCATAGTATCTAACCATGAAGGAGCTGAGTACCAAAGCTGAAATTTGGTGTATAAGTAGATCTAATATATCTCAGGGGTTTATTTAAGAGCCGGCGGCCGGCGCATTGATCGGTTACTACAATGTTTTCGCCGGCTACTTCAATCAATGCTGTAAAAATTAATACAAAAACCACCAATATAAATAGCGAAACAGGCCTGTAAAGAACCTTATTTACCTACACGAAGTTAATTTGCGATAGTATGCACTCATTTTGATGTTCCTTTCTGTTGAAAGTTCGTTAAAATGTCTACTTGAAAGTTCGTTAAAATGTCTACCAATTTTTAGACTCCATGCTTGACTTTCATGAACTCGCGGCGTAAACAAAGTTAAAGTTCAAAGTTCGCCAGCCGCGCCTGGGTGAGTCCATCAAAGAAGCCACGCCTCCAAATCACATGTTAGCCAATAAGATAATAGAAACTTCTCCACCACGTGCTAAGGTGATGACGACATACATCGCCTAAACTCTTGTTCCGTACATTGGGCTTCCGGGTTTTCTTACCACGGAAAAGGAAAAACAGATCATCATTTTTTTTTGTGTATGACTATGAACCTTTTATTTTCATTTCATTTTTATTTTGCCAGCCCTCTTTGTGATGACATAGATATTTCAAAAAAAAAACCAACACTGGCTCAAATTCGTTTACACTCGGTGGTGGAGGTAGCTAGCCGAACCAACTATATTGAATGCTCACAATTTCAGAGTCATAGATAGTAAAATGATTAAAACGGCAAGCAAGCAAAAATCGTCTCAATTCACATCACATGAGACATTTTTTTTCCAATGTGGTATCCATCCCTTTTCGATATCTGCGTAAATTTTAGAACTATTTTTTGCTCTCCTTAGATGTTTTCTTCAACAACGCACTAGGGCATAGGCCTAAATGGTGAATCCCCACAAATTTCAACATGTTTGTGAAAAGTAAACAACTTCATCATTATAACCAGAACCCTGCGGGTACGTACGTTCCTTTGTACGTAAACGTAGTTTAGAGGGATATGTAGTCCAGTAATGGTTTCTAATGTTTTTACGTACACCTACACCTCCATACAGGTCCGTCCATCAAATGCTGTATATTTACATACCTGCAAACATTCGAATATCAAAAATAGGGACGCTATTCATTGGTGACAAAAAATTAAGACGGCAATTATATCCTAATTCCTGTACAGTTGCTTCAAACAAAACAAGAGTTACTTAATTTCAAGTGTACTGTTTATTTACCTCACAACCAAGAAAAAATATTAAAGTTACATTTTAATCAGTAGGCTTACAGACTTCACCACGAAGGGCACGGTATGTTGCTTGTTTCGCTGGATCTCATTGGAGTCATAACGTCAATATTTATTCGAATGACACTCATAATCTCTGTTCAACATTTCCAGCTTGTGTGTCATTAAAGCACTTTAAGTTTTTGTTGTCATGATAGCTCGAAGCTTGGTTTTGTTTTTTCAACAATCGAGAAAACTTTCTCAGTCACTACTGCTATAAAATATTACCATAGTTCCCCGGGTAGAATCCCACACCGAACTTACGCCCAACTTCGCGTACACAAATTTCCACGGGTGATGTCCCAGGATCTGGATTGGGTAAGTCGGCCTAGCAGGCCTTGCCTAGGTCGATAAATTTAACAAATGCTAAAAAAATAAAGGAACGTCTCCGAATTCTGCCGACTTGAAACCCTTTAAATTGCTTAAAACTGATATTGGTCGCCATAAATTAAAACACAAAGCCCATTCTTGTAAATTACTTTGTTGTTTACGGTCGCTAAAAATAAGCAGCTCGCTAACTGCGGCTAAAGTAAAGATAGACAACACCGCGGTCCGTCCCTGAAAAGACCTGCTTATTCATATTCTTGACAGCAATTTGACCTCTGAAAAGGTCATTGTTTGTCCAAAAAAAAATGGCCTAAGACAACTGAAAAGCGGAGTTTCCTTCTTTCGTTCTGCCGGGTAAAATCAATTACTTTAGGCGACGTTTGTAAACTAACCTACTCGTACCAACGTCCACATATCGCGACGCTGGAGTACTATTCAGCTTTTTTACTATATTTCTAGGTTTCTTATTTCTATGTTTAATCGGCTCATGTCTCAGCCACAATATTTTGAGGCCAATATTATTTACGAACTCAGTTAAACTTATTTACTAGCCTATTTCAACGTGCTAATTATTACATTTAGGCGACGCTTGTTGTAGACTGGAAATAAATACCATTTTATACACATGCGCAGATGGATTCGCCAGCAGCAGCGAGT